ATGAAAAACATTATTTCTTAAAAATTATTATAAGCTGTGTTTTAATGTAAAATATAAAATCATTTTAATGTAAAATATATCTTTATATATTTAATGGCAGCAAATAATACACTTCTGAAGTATTGTATATTTCTGAATATTATTTTATATATCAATTTTTTTATATATCAATTATAAGTTCTTTTTTTTTTAAATTTGTTCTGGATTTTTTTTTTTTTTAATTTATTATATTTTTATTTATTTCTTTTTTATTTGCCATTTTTTGACAGGAAATTTGTATGATAAATGTAGCAAACTTTAAAAGAATCTTATTCTTATATATAAAATTAATAGACTGAATTTTATAGCATCGGAGTTAATTTCTTTTTTTGATAAATTATTGAAATTTTTTGAAATAGCTCTGCAAATATAATTGTCAAATATCAATATTTCATTATTGATATTGTATTAGTAATGACATTATATATTTTTGCATTCATATAATTATATTTAGTCTATAATTATAATTATAATTATAAGTATAATTATAAGTATTGTTGTTGTTGTTGTTGTTGTTGTTGTTGTTATTGTTGTTGTTATAGATATTTATTATTATTTTATATTTTATTTTAAATTCTTCAATTTAAAAAATTAAATAAAATTTTATTATTATTTTATAAATATTGAAATTTAATTTAAAAATTTAATTTATTCAAATTGTTTTTTATTATCTCTAATTTTAATAAATTAATATTTGTTTTTAAATATAATTAAACTTTTTAAATCGAAATTGCATAAGATGATAATAACGAAGCGAAAATAATATCGGATACTATATCATTTTTTTCTCTAAAGTTGTAAAAAAATTCAAAAGTAAAGTTTATTACAAAAAAGTTAGAAAAAAGTTATAAAAATTTTAGATAAAAAAGATAAAAAACATGGATGTATAAAATTATTATTAGAGAATTGATGAAAATAAATTGTTATTCTTATTATTATTATATGGAAATCAATCGTATAAGAATTATTAAATTTTAGATGATCTATATTTTTATGATTTATATTTTTTTTTTGTTGTAAATTTTCATCTTCATTTCAATATTACTTCTAAAATATGCTCGTTTTCATATAAATTTTTGACTATTAAATATGCAAATAATCTGATCATAATATGATTTAATAAATCTTGTAATTTCAGAATTTCATTTTTCTTATAGTAAACATTTAGAAAAAATCATCAAATGAATCGAATGCGTTTCTTTTTTATCTAAATATTTACGTAATATATAAAATTAATTTAGATATTCCTTATATAATGCAAAATTTTGAATAAAAATTTTCCAAACATATTATTTAATTTTGTTCTTTTCTATTATTCTCTTTAAAATAAATAATTAATAATAATAAATAAATATATATATATATATATACATATATATATATATTTATATATTGTTTATAGGATTTGATATACGACTGGATATTATATCACAGAATTCATCATAAATATTATGGAACTGATAAAGATCCTTACAATCATAAAAAAGGATTTCTCTATAACCATTATATAAGTAATGTATTGTCGTTATATGAGTTTTAAAGAAATGAAACGTAACATTGATTTACGCGATATTGATAATGATGTTTATGTTTACTTTCAAAAGATGTAAGTTTCTTTTAAACATGTATCTGATATTCATTACACGAAAATGAAAATTATGAAATTCTAGATTTTTTTTAGTTGAAACATGGCATTTATTCAAATGATAAATTTGAATTAATGATATATATATATTAGAAATGATACAATTGTATGAGCCATTAATATAAGTCCCTAACTGTAATAGCTGTGTTTTAACTTTTTCTAATTAGGAGAAAAAAGAAAAAAAACAGAATTCCATAATTTAAATTAATTGAAAAAAAATTGACAAAATGAAATATTGCATTAAAACAACATTATTCTCTAATTTTTCTTATTTTTTATATTTTTCGATATGATAATTTTTATTATTCTATATATCTTTATTATTCTATTATTGTAATTATTATAATAATCTTCGTTTCTTTGTATTCGCAGCTTCTACTGGCCATTATTTTTAATATTTAGACTACATAGATGCAACATATTTATTTTGATTGAAGTATACATATTTAATATTTCAATCAAAAATTTATTAAATTAAGAAAAAAATAATAAAATTCTAAATAATAATTTTATTTTTCAATAATTTGAAGATTGATTTTTAAAGTCATGTAACTATATTAATATTAAGAATATGAAAAATAAAACAAATCATATTAAACTATGGATCAAATGTTAATAATAAATGTTAATAAATTAATAAATGTTAATAAATTATTTAATAATTTTAAAAAATTCTATACAAATGTTTAATAATTATTAAACTATTTTTTTTTCATTTTAATATGAAAAAATAATATTTATGAAAAAAGTTTTTACCACAAATATATTTTTAAAAGGCAAATATAATTTCATTGTGCGATGATTGAACGAACACTTTCTCAATAACTTTCAACTTATCCTATATTGAAGTCTTAATTTTTCCGAGTTCGAAGGCAACAAAAAACTAGAAATGGCTAGAAATATGAAGTCACTTAATACATCTAGCTGATATGGAATATCTAGCTATATAATGGCGTTTCGTTATTAATATGGACAATATCAATAATAATTATCAGCGCTCGTAATAGTATATTATTAATGAATCTATTAAATTCCAAATTATTCTTAAATTATTTTCAATTAATGGAAAAATATAAATCAATGTTCATTAATGTATTTGTACTTATTTATTTTTTGCATTATTTAATATGTTTTTTGTAATTCATAATTAAATAATGTCCATGCATTTTATATATCCATCTTTTTACGATATATAATATTTTAAATTTTTTCTTTTTTTTGTATTTAAATTACAATTTTTATGTATATTCATATTTAAATGAAATATGATTATATATATAATATTTTTACAATTACTATCTTTTTAGATATTTGTTAATATTTCAACAAATATAGGAAATATTGAACTTTTTTTAATTTTAATAAATTATTCTGTAGATTTTTAAGAATATACATATACATATTATTTATTTATTGAAATTAATGTACGAATACTTTTTATATTCATTGTAAATTCCTAACATTAAAATTATGATTTAAATGCAACGAATGCAATATTGAAATATATAAAAAATGTTAAAAAATGTTAGTTCAGTAAATTAAATTCAAAATTAAAGTTTAATTTCTTTTTAAATTTTTATGCATAAAGTTTTATTTAATTAATAAAAAATAATAAAAAAAATTGTCAAAATAAAAATAAAAATAAAAATTATATTATCATATTATCATATTATAGTTTATGCATTTATTAATTTTAATTTAGAAGAATAGGAAAAAATTAATGATTAAACATTTTTTTTATTAAAAAAACGATAATTGTTTGTTAAATTTTTTATGAAATGGAAATTTATTAATTTCGTTTAAATTAATACATACAACATTGTAAATACAGTACACAGATCATTATGAATATCAAACAATTATTGAATGAAATAATATACAATGAAATGTACAATTCTGCGCTATAAAGTGCAGTTCTTTATACAATTCTTGGATTATATTAATTATTTTACTAATACACAAGTTTTATTATTCGTGGTATGCATCATTTTTATTAAACTGATAAATTTTTTCTCATGAATTAAAATTTCTATTACATTTTATTAAAATATATCTAATCAGTTTTTTTGATTAAAATATTATTTTTTTACAATAGTATAATATTTTTGTATTGACTTGTTTTCTTTTAATTTATTTCATATATAAGATTTTGTAAATTTTTTTAAATATTAATATCACAAATTTTTAAAAATAAATATAATTTTAATATATTTATATTTTATACATTAATCTATTCTTTTAACAATAATAACTTCGTGTAATAGTGAAAATAATCAATCAATCATCTCTTATTAAGATACAAATTATATTACATCAATCATCAAATAATTCTTCAAAGAAACATTAAATAAAGGAAATATGAACACTGACGAAAAAGAATTTTCTTAAATTAATTTTACACAATTTCCTAACAATGCATATAATTATTTATTTTATATCTATCGTTTCAGCATTGCAAAAGAAAACATATTTACTAATATTATTAGATAAATATTACAGACAAATAATGAATTAACGCAATATTCTTTAATTTATTTATATAATATAATCGCAGAGAATTGAAAAAACAGAAAAAATTAAAATATTTTGTATAAAGATGATTCAAGGACGGGTTGGTAGCCACAAATCAATTATCATTTATAGTAGAAATAGTGCGTTACTTTGAAAATTACGATTGGGTATAAATCATTGTTATACGGAACAATTGTACATTTTACTAGTAGCGTAATTTTAAAAAACTTATGTCCTATTAGTCTTGGCCCTATATAATTATTTCTGCATTTCATTATTTACTGTATTATAATAAGGCTTTTTCGATGTCTAGCTCTCTCATATGTAGCAAAAAAAAAAAAAAAAAAAAATCTTGAAGTTCCTTTACATACTCCTACATACATGACGGATTGATTAATTGTTAAGACTAGCTTGAACAAGATCTTAAAGGCACCCGCATCTTTGTCTTTCTTCTTTCTTCTTTTCCATTTTCTATATATATTAATACCATTTAATTTAAGCTCGCTAGGTAATTGCTAAATTGAAAGGATCTATGCTTAGAAATTGCAATATGAAGATGGATTACTACACTTTTAAAATAGAAAAAGAGAAATAATAATAGATATAAAATCAGTTTCAAAAAAGAAATTTGAAAATTCTAAATATATTTTTGCAAATATGATTCATTGAATAGAACTTTGATTAATAATATATTTTGCAATATAAAAATCATTACATATATCTAAAAAGATCATTATCAAATATAATTGAAAAATTTATTTCAAAGTTTATGTATCTTATATTTATATGTATTTTATATGAAAAATGAAAAAAAAGAAAAAGTAACTTGTAGATGGATTCTTGTATTATTTTTATCTAGAATAATTTAATGAAATAAATTATTATTTTAACACATAATTTCAGATTTTATTGTGAATCTGAATAATATTTGGATGCAGGTTCTTAATTGGATCTTATCAAGTTGCTACTGAACTTTCCTATACTATTGTAACTATTATATTGCAATACGTATAATGCATAAAGTTATAATGCCTCATGCGTCATTTGCATATTTATATGTACATATATATGTATATATTTATATATACGTATATATTCAAACAAAAAAAAAAAAAAAAAAAACAATAATTATTCTAATCTACTGTCACATAATTGGCTAATATGCCATATTTATAAACTGTACGACAATGTACAGTTTAGGATAATTTCTGGCATATTGAAGACATTTTTTCTTTTAACTAATTTCATCTATATATGTTTTATTTTTTTCTCAAATAAATACACAACTATCACATAATGCACGCATCTTACTAACTTATTCTTGCGTTTAATGTCAGTTTACAATTATGAAAAATCATTGTCCCATATATTATTCTTTCTGATACTTTTAGATTATCTTATTCTTTCTTCTTACAAAGAACATAAAATATTATAATGCACAAAAATATCGTATATAATAAATATTTTACACATATTGAATTGTTCGAAGTGATTTCAAATTTCGATAATTTTTTTAAAGCTGCCAGAAAATAAGAAAGATTTCACTCTTTCTATAATTATCTCTTTTTCTGAACGAATCTATCTTTCCAACGGTCGATAAATACATATACACGTTATTATTTTTTTATGAATATTCTCAAATATCAAATAAATGGTTGAAGTTTTTTTTAAAATTCTTCTTATTTAATTTTTTTTGAACATTACGAAAAGAAAAATGTTGTCTTTGCACGTCTAATTTATTTATCCATCATCGCCACGTTCGCTAGGATTTTAAATATAATATTACACTTTTGTTTCTATATTCATTTGTCTCTAAAGAAATGCTTTATGTTGAATTCTATTTAAATAATACGTATTTAGGCCTCTAAAACGTAGCATAATTTTTATACAAAATTAATTAATGATACCATTTTCTTTTTCTTTCAAGTATATTTTCTTTTTTGTGTATGTGTTTCTTCAAGTTTCTAGTTGGATCAATGCTACGTTGATAAATATCTATCAACAGGTATATTTTCCTGCTAAATTCTCTTCATATAGACCTCCGTCCAGATTCATTTGATTGTATATTGTACTATACGATCCTGATAGAAAAACAGGATCGTGAATAGACAATCTTTTTATGTCTCGCCAAGCTTCTCTCGAAGCTATGTCTATGGTAAAGTTTAACTCTTCGAATGTACATTGGTCTTTTGTGCCTTCTTTTTCCTGGCCGCAAGCATATCATAGAATGGATTATGCGATATACTTTGCCTATAAATAAAAAATTAAATTAAAAATAAAATTGAATACATTATAAATAAAAGATAAATATAAATATATATTCAATATATTTAAATAATAAAAGTATTTTATAAAATAAATTATAATTTTTCTAAGACATTATTTTTAAGACATTATTTTTTAAGACATTATTTTTTAAAACATTATTTTATTAAAAAAGAATTTATATTTCAATTATTAATACAATCAATTATAAAATCTGCAATAATATAAATTAATCTAATTGTAATATAAAATATAATCTAATGTATCTATAATTGTAACATAAATTCTGTATATAAACATTTTAAAAATTAAATATTTAAAAAAACTAATTGCAATGCTTTTTTATTTAAAGAAGTTAAAAAGAAAAAATTATATTATAGATTCCAAATCATTAATAATATCAATTGAAAATACATTAAATAAATAATTAGTTTTATTAGAATTAAAAATTTTCTTTGATTTATTTACAAAAAACAATAAAACAATTTACCGCACGCATTTAATCCATTCTTCTTTTTCTTCATCTGTGGCTGCAGACATTCTGTACACGGTATGTTTTCCTACACAAACAAAATACAACGTTACAGTACCTACTTTAATTACAGTATGCAATGCAACATATAAGCTATAAAAAAAAAAAAAAGATCACATTATTAAATGGTAATGCAATACGCATTCGATTCTTTCGCGAGAAAAATGTTTTTCAATCTACTCTTGAATTTTTTATTTATATGTTCTATTAATTTTCCATTCTTTCAAGTTTTAAAAAATTAACAACTTAAAAAATAATTTTCATCGTATGTTTAAACTTTTATTTTTTCCAAATTATGATATTTTCAATAACTTAAATTGTAAATGTAATGAATAAAATGTAAATGAATGAAATACGATGAATGAAATAGTATAATTTAGATTAAATAAATTAATGTAGATTAATAAATAATGAATAATATAAAATATAATTAAATTATAATTTAGAAATGCACATTTTACTAACTGTAAATTTATGATTTCCATAATATTTTTTATAAATAATTCATAATATTTTTTAATTATTTGAGATTTTAATATTATATAAATAATAAAAATTAATATACAATAAAACGGAAACAGAAAAGGAATGAATCATTTTATTTTTTATATATTGTTGTCGCGGATTGTTTTCACTTTATTTCATTAACATGCTTTCTTTTTATTTACGAAATATAAATATTATAAATGAATACTCAAAAGCTAAAATATTTCAATATTATATTTCAGAAAAATGATTAAATTTTTTTTACAAGTTTGATTCTTATATTCAAATAAAACATCGTGCAATTAAACAAAAATTTGACATTGAATGTCTTAATTAAAATTAATTTTTTTATACTTTTTTATGCTTTTTTATATCTTTATTTATTTTTATCAAACTAGAAATATAAAAGCAATTTCTGGACAAATATGATAAATATTTTTTACATATCCAATCAGTTAAGCTTAGTCTTAAAATAATATGAGTAAATACATAGGTTTTTAAGGAGCCAAATTAGATAAATGATATTGCAATATATCGTTATCCAATCAGTTAAGCTTAATCTTAATGTAATTTAAAATGTAAATTACAAAAATTTGTATACTTTTAAAATTAATTAGAAATTAAAGTTAATATGCATTTATGTTTTTCTAAAACTTGATTAACTACAATATTTATTCATAATTTGAGTTTTTCTTGCAAATTTGAATATATGCATCTTATTTACTAATGACTTTTGGAAGATAAAGAAACAGAAAAGAGAGAAAAGAGAAAAGAAGAAGACATTTCATTTAAATTTTATATGAAATTAATTCAAGTTTACATTACAAATTTCTTAAATGCTTTGGTTCTCCTCTTTCATTTTTCACCAATTATCATATGTTATTAACAAAGATAAAATATAGAATTTCATGTTTTTTGCAGCTATACGCTCATGGCCAATTCCTAAGAGTATATATCTGTAAGTATATAATAAATAAATATGTATTACTGCTAAACTATATAAAAATTTATAAAGAATGGAACATGATCTAAAGAGAATGAAATACTGATTTACACAATTTGAACATAGATACATAGATTTGAACATAGACAATAATTCCTAAAAATGTAAAAAATATTTTTTACTTGATCTTAATTTGAGAGCATAGTAATGGAATGAACTAATGGCCAAAATCAAATACTCTTAGTCGCAGATCAAGATACAATCAATTAATATCCAGGATTCCTGGTTATTACCTTCGACAACTTTTCCTTCGCTATCTGTCTTGCACGCTTTGATGAACTCAGAGCCAGCGGCATAGAGCTCGAAGCAATGCGGCTTGTGTCGATCTTGCACCTCTCTGACCTGAATGTTTTCCAGCGGAATGATACCTCGTGGCTCCTTGTCGGTTGTATACTCGAAGTAATAAAGACAGTTGTCGTTCAATATGAACCATCGTCTTTTCCAGCTCTTGTAACGTCCGCCTGGAATCATCACCGTGCAGATTTTAAAAGTTAACGATCGATGAATAATTCTTAACTGCATTATTTACCTGCTGTCTCCATCAGGGCAGCAGAGGGACAAAGTGATACGATATAAGAAAAATAGGTTCAGATTTTTCACGAATTTTTTTATTTTATTTATCGGAGGATATTTTAAGGAACAGCGGTTCTCAAACTTTTTTGTTTTTGTGTTTTTTTTCAATGATAAATATAATATACAGATAATTTATTAAATATACAGATAATATACAGATAATGTATATAAATAATATTAAAGATATTCTAATATAATACATTTAGAAATGATTCTAAGAGAAAAAAATAAATCGAAAATAAAGTATAAAATTCTTTTATTTGAAATCTTGTTTCCTATCATAATTAGAAACTCATCAAATATATACGATGAAGCATACAATTGGCATTTTGATTAACTTTGTAAGTTAATTTCATAGAAAATATTTGAATAACATTTGAATCTCTCAAAAAGATACAATTTAATATTAATTTTTATTAATTTTTGTATAAGTAAGATGTATGAAAGATTTGAATTTGTAAATATCAATTTCTTTTAATTATAAATGTTTTAAATTATAAGAGTTAATAATTGGGATTTAATCCGCTTATTGAATTAAATGATTATATGATGATATGATTTTTTCAAATTTAACTTGAACGAAAAATAAATGTGAATCAAATTTTATTTTCTTTTTCGGCATATTTGAAATTTCTTTGTGAACTTAAAAAGAAGTTTTATTTTTTTTGGAACAAAATTTTAAAGATATTTTTTTATAAATTGATAGAATTGATAGAATTTAATTTAAGAATAGATTACAAAAAAATTTTAATTTTAGGAATATATAATTTAATGTTAATCCAAACCTAACTACTGTTTTTTTTTTTTATTTAAGAAACAAAATTAATAAGAGTAAAACAATCCTCATGTATAGTAAATAAAAACATAAAATTTAATTTTAATAAATAAAAATTTAATTAGCAATTAATATCTTTTTTTTCTGAATGCATGAAAGATACACGAAAGATTAAAAATTTATATTTCTATCAATATTATATCAGGATATTGTATGTAAGGATATTATATGTAATGTCATTTTTTACAAATGATATATCTTGTCTATAGTCATCTTGTATAATCACCAATTTATCTATTAGATATATGAGTCAATAATATGCATTTTAAACAATGCATGATTTGGATTTTATATATTATTAAGTTTAAACTGACTTTTAATCAATATATTTATCAAGTTTTATGAAACTATATAATAATTTTAATATTTTTATATCCGAAGAATTAAAAAAAATTAATTCGTATAAAAAAATTAATTCAATATTTTAATTTTTTAAAATTTATCATAAAAGAGTCAGAAAATGCTAAAGTAACACATTTTTATTTACATTTTTCTCATATGATAACATATTATTCTCATATTATTAAAAAAAATGAAATAAATACTACATTGAGTAATAACAATTAAGATTTCATATTTTTAAAAAATATTGCGAAAAGAAAAAATAATTACACGATGAAAAAGTTTTATTTCTGTAATATTCATTTTATGAAAAAGTATAACTAAAATATCGAGATTGCTTTAATTAATTGAAATATATACGACTTCTATTTTAAATAGTTTTGCTAATAATTTTAAATATTTTAGATATTTCATTATTTAGATAAAACAAATATTTTGATAGTTTAATTTCTATTGAAATACGAATAAATTATTATAAGAAAATTATTCTATATGTGAAAATAAGTAAAAAAAAAAAAAAAATACAACTTTTTCATTTATAATAAAAAGTTTTTCGAAAATATCAAATATTAAATTTGAAAATTCATCGAATAGGAAAACAATAGTTTTTCATATGTGTTTCTTATTATTTATATAAAATAAATTTTAATAAATTTTATAAACCAAATTAATATTTTTCTAAGTTAATAATAAATTAATAATTATATTTAACAATTAAATAATTTAATATTTGTTTAAATATTATTATTTAATTATTAAATATTAATATGCTGCATTGATTATATTCAAAAATATATGATTCTGCTTAAAAAAACAAAAATAATTTTCATATAACTTCTATGCATCAATTTAGAAAAATATAATGCATATGTATCCTTATACTAAAAAATTTTCAAAAAATATTTTTTTCATAGCATTCATTTTTTAAAAAATAATTCATTATATTTAAATAAAATAGATACGCTGTATACAAAAATTTTTAAATTTAATTTTTTCAAAAATGATGGTTTGGATGAAAAAATTATTCTTTCTTTTCGACTTTTGTATAGGTAAAAATATTCTCTATCTAAGTTCATATCATGTCTTATCAAATATAAAATTCTCATTAATTCTCAATATAAATGAAATTCTATTCTACATTTTTCGCAAGTATTTAAAATTATTTATTTTTTTCTGTATTATAATAAAAGTATAACTTGTAATTTTTTACAATTTTGAACGCATTTCGCTCCAACTCAAATGCAAAATGCCACAACTTGCCACTCTTAAATCACTGTCAGGATTTTTGGAATACTTGGATATAATGCTGAAAATATTTGAGTCATCCGAAGTATTTAACCTCCGATCCTAGACAATTTGGGAAACGCTGTTTCAGAATGTTCTCACTCGTCCTTGCGTAACCCTTTATAGCGTCAACTTATTATTTCATCTGTTTTCGATTTTACACAAAAAATAAGCTGTTTCATTATGAATTTTTGATCTTTAGTCTTGGTTTAATGTTAACGATCAATTCTTCAAACGGATGGATCGTTTTTATCTCGTAAATCATCGAGTACCCGCATCATCGGTGAAAACGATCCGGATTGCTTTATGTGCCATGGATGGCACGAATATCGTGGGATCATGGACAATAGAGAACTCGTTAGAGCAAAGATGGAAGTTCAGGAATGATATATTACGTATAGATATAAAAGAATAGAGAATTATTAGAATTAAATAAAATAAAAAAATGAAAATTCAATCAAATTCAATCATTTAGCGAATGAAAAATTCATTGAAGTGTGATTTTTTTTTTAAATTTTTTAAAATAAAACAGTATATATATATGATTTCATTTCAAGAGTTTTGTATGATATCAATCAATACAAGTTATTACTTTTACATTTTTAAAAACTACAAGCTCTACATAAATAAAACGGCGGACAAGCATACTAAAGAAAAGAAATGAATTATTTTCATATATTAACATTCCTTATTTTTTATAAGAATTATTTTTTATTAGAGAAAAATTAAACTATTCAATTATTTTCGATAACTTTTTTCTACTTCTATTGAAGAAAAAAAAATTGGAAAAAAGCTTTCTCTTCATTGCAAAAAGAATATTGATAAAATTTGATTAAATGACATATACGCTATAAAGAGTTAACATCCTCATGCACTCGTGAAATCTCTCTGAAAAAAAGATCCCATGCAGGCCAGAGTTTACATTCGCATTGTTCGATCAATCGCGGCTCGAGCAGCATTCTTTCATTCTCTTTCAGCCACGCAAAAGAGGTTTTTACATTTCAGATCATACCAGGTCAAGAGGAAGAGAGAAACGTTGGTAGAATTGTATATTAGATAGAATCTACGAAAAAATTACCTTGCTTCCAAAGCCAACCTTCCTTGTCCGGATTGAAGAATGTATGCATTAAATCATTTCCATCGTCTTCCGGTATCTTGAACGGTTCTGTTTTTATACTTTCGTATAGACTCTAAAAAAAAGCCAACAATTAAAACTCATAATTTTTAAAAATGTTTGTTTTATTAATATTTTCTTTTTTTTATTTAGCTTAATACTTTAAATATATGTTCATATTGTAGTTAATAAAATAGATTTAAAAAGAGAGAGTATCTTAGAATTTGTTCAATATTATTTTAATAAATATACAGGGTGAGCCAGAAATATGAAAACATCAATTAATAAGAGATTTATGAGATAAATTCAACATTGTATTTTTTTGCAAAAATTTTCGTTATGGCATTAATGAATTATTAAAAAAAAAAATCATTCGCCACGGAGCGTATAGTTTATTTGAATTGCAATGTTGACCATGACGTTGATCTCGTACGAATAAATCCAAACAACATACATCGAAAGTGCATAAATTTTTTCTTTTTTTATTAACATATATTTTTATTAATATGTAAATTTATTTTATTATTAAAATAAATCAATTAAGAATCAATTGAGAAAATTCGAGAAACTTATAATAAAAAGTTTAACTATATTTTATAATTTAAAAATATAAATATATATATATATATTATAATAATATATATTATATATTTAAAATAATTAAAAAAAAATATTAATTTAAATGTTTTTAATAAATATTGCTTTTAAAAAAGTATAAAATAAAAATATACCACTTCGTAATGTGCAATAATATATGATATGAAATGAAAAAAAAAAAATATTTCATTCAAGTCCAATTATTTTTGCCTTTCTATATATAATTCTATGTATAATTTTATGTATTTTATGTCTTCTATGTATAATTCTAATATATTTTGCTTACGATTTAAAAATTTTCTAGCAATTCTATTCATAATGGTAAAATCGATTTATGTTATAAGTACAAATAATAATTCTTATTAACAATGAAGGATTTCTTTTGATATATATTTTTGACATATATCAATACGTATATGACATATATTGAACCATTTAATTTGATTTGAGATCAAATATTTGTAATAATAATGCAATAATACAATTTTCATATTTTTAGATTTTTTTTAATAAAACTTTTTGTAAAATTTTAAAAAAATAAAATAAAATTAAAATAAAATAATTTTTAATTGAAATAATATAATTTAGATTATATTTATGTATTTAAGGAATGATACATTTTTTTATTTATTAAATAAATATAATCTAAATTTTATTAAATTTATTTTAATTAAAAAAACTTTACCAATCAAAAAAACAAATACCAATGTTTATTAATTACAAAAAATTATTACAAATATAAAATTTTATTTAAAAAGAATTTAAAAATAAATATTATTATTATATTATTATTATTGTCTTTTTCTCTGTTTCTGTTTGTCTGTTTTTTCTTTCTCTCATTCATTTTACATTTGACGAAAAATGTAAACAAACTTTGAACTTCATTCATTTATCATAGTAGAAAAATCAATATTTCTGTTAGATAACTGCAAAACTATCATCCACATCTTTTGTAGTTTTTTTTTTTGATATTCAAGTAGTTATTTCTTGCAGTTGTTTGTACATCAATTATATTATATATTTTTTATTTTATTTACGTGAATTTAATTATCTTGAACATGAAATTGTAAAATATACATAAAAAAAAGTTTAAAAGTTGGAAATCGAAAAATTTTTGTATAAAATTGAATAAAATGTGATTGCAATGAATAATCTAATATTTTTACAATACAATAATTTTAAATCAAAATTAAAATTTTTTCTTGTAAATTCAAATGATCGTTTAAAAAAATTAAAAATTAATTTTCTATTCCCATTGATTTGTAATTTTTTGAATGTTTATAGAGTTGTTCTTTCAATCTTAGCTATTTTTAGCTAAAAAAAAAAGATGAAAAAGAAATGCAAAAAAACATTGGAGAAAAATCGGGATGGCCATGTCGATGAAAATTCCAGTTTTTTTAAACATTTCTTAAAATCTTAGGAAAACATTCAATATACATTACAGAAAACGATTTATGACACTAGAAAAACATTAACATTTTTTTAAAGAATCCAAACATCCATAAAATAAATAGATCGTTCACGGAAAAAAAAACAATCTACAAATAAATTATTCATTTTTTTAATTTTACAAAATTAATACATTAATAATTTATCATAGTCAAAAAAAAAAAAAAAGAAAAAAAAAATAATTATTCTTCGTTTGACTCACAACGAAATAAAATTAATGATGCCTTAATATATTATAGTAGCATAAAGGATAGAAATAAGAATAGAAATAAGAATAGAGGATAGAAATAAGAAATATTTAGGTTATGATCTACACAAAAAAAATTAAATCTTTAATAATAAATAAAACTATAAATATTATATAACTATATTATATAACTAAATATTATATAACTATAATATTATATTATATATATATATATAACTAAATATTATATAACTATAAATATACTATAAAAACTATAAAAAAACTATAAAATGAAGACTTTCACAAATACTATTTTTTTTTTAAATGTCAATAAATATTTTTTATTTTCACGATAGAAAATTTTGCATTTATATATTTAAATGATATTTATTTTGGTTTATTTTAGTCATTATTTATTTTAGTGATAGAGATATATTTTGGTGATTTTTAAAAAACAAAAAAAAATAAATTATTTCATAATTTTAATTTTAAAATAATTATTAGAGATTTAAAGCAATTTTTGATCGTGATATAATAACAAGAAAATTATTATAGTCAATTTATCAAATAATTTCTTATTTTAATATTGTAGAAAAAAAAGATACTTACTATCGGACACACACTTTAATGAATAAGTCGAAATTTTTATAGTTTTGACCAAGATTTTTTAACAATTTCGTTTATAATATATATATATAATTTTTAATATATATATATTAAATATTAAATATTAAATATTTTATATAATAATATATAATTATATTTATTTTATATAAAAAAATTATTAACTAAATAAAAATTAAATAAAAAGCAAATAAATTAAATAAAAAAAATTAAAAAAAACTAAATAAATTAAAAAATATAAAGCAAATAAGCTAAATAAAAAAATATCATATAAAAATTTTTTCATATATATATTTTTGCAAATATTTGAATATTTTCAATTAATATGTACATATATATACACATATAAAAAAAGACAAAAGTTGTTCTATATAAAAATATATATTAATAAAATATATATAAAAATATATATTATTATATAATATAGTATTACTAATTATTTTTCTATATCTAAATATAAGTGTAAATGTTATATCAAGATCAGTTTTAATTTTAAATAGAATTATATAATTATATAAATTATGTAATACAAAAAAAAACATCAATCAAGTTTTTTTTCTACAAAAAAAAGTACTAAAAATACTATTTATGTCAGAAGATCATTAATTTAGAAAATATAATTTGAAGTTTATAAAAGTTATTATATGAAAAAAGAAAGAATATCAGTATCACTTTACGTGGTTCTTTCATGATAAGTTTTATAAAATTAAAATAACTTAAGTTAAAATATCTTGTAACTAAAGATTTTTCTTAATACTTTTTTTTGTACAAAATATCAAGCTGAAATAGTAAATATCAAAATGCAATAAAAATTATATATTTCTATTTAAAAAAATAAAGTTAATTTTTATATGACTTCCATGAATCAATATATAAAAAAATTATTAATACTGCATGTATTTTTATATCAAATTTTTGTCTCAAACATTGTATCATATTTTTAAATAATTTAATATTGACTATATTCAGTTATATATACTGTATTTTATTATGATGGAAAAACTAATTTTAATCATTATAATTTCGATTATTCAAAAATTTTATATTTTATTTTTGTATTTGGCGGATTCGAAAGAATTTTTATTAATATTTGGAAAATTATGAATTTGCAACAGTTATAATTCTTGAGACATAAGTTTTCAATTGAAGTATTATAATGAAGTGCGATTCATTAACCCAATAATTAAAATGAAATCGAAAGATTTTTCATTAAAAAAAAAAAAATTGTTGCAGACATATTATTATGTTCTATTATGTTTAATATACGTATAAACTTCGTTAAAATTTTTTCAGAATTTTCGAATTAGACAAATTTTTTATAATGTAATTTAAGAAGACTAGTCATCTTAAAACTTGTAAATATTATAAAAATTCTTAAAATATAAATATATTTATATTATAAAATATAATATTACATAATTCAAAACTTGTATATTTTTATTTATATATATATTATTTTTCATTTAACATAGGAACGTATAGCCAAATATTATTAATTAAAAATAAACTTTCAATATTAATAAATTTTTTTATGCTTTTGAGTATGCTTTTTATCATTTTTATCTTTGTTTATTTTATTTTATTTAAAATTGAAAATTTTAAATAAATAATTAATTAAATTTTTTTACAGTTTTACAGCTACAAGAAATTGAAATATATATATATATATATATATAAGTTGTATAAGAAATATAGTATTGTATTGAAACAGAATTTTTGTTTCCTAGAAAATTTATTAATTTAAAAATAATATAAATTAAATATTTATTTTGAAAATAGTATAAGAAAACTTTTGTAAAAACAAAAAATTATTATAAAAATTATATATAAAAGTTAATACGATATAATCTTTTTATTATATTATAATAAAATATTATATATTATATATAAATTATAATAATAAATTATATTGTAGTATAATATAAACTTTTATAAATTTTATTTATAAACAATTTAAAAGTTAAAATAAAATAAATTTTAAAATATTCGTTTATTTTTATCGATTGAAATTTCATTAATAAATAGAATTGTATTATTTATTTTAAAAATTGTAATGTAAGTCCATTTTTTCCAATTTATTTATTTTTATGTAGCAAAATCCATCCATTTTGTGTTCGAATAATTGAAGCAGTAATAAATAAATTATCTATATAATATTGTTAAATTAACTAATATATTTTAAATATTATTTATTAAATTATTATTATTATTATAATTAA